TTCTCGCTCTGCGCAGTTTTATGCTTTCTATAAAGCACCTAAGCAAAAGCTAAATTTGCATTTTATATGCATCTTTTGATATTTTTGGATTTTTATGCGATTATTTTTCCGCCCACGCGAGTTGATCTTTAGGCATTTGCCAGGATACCCGGCAGCCGTTAGGCCGCGGTTCTATGCGAAAGAGAAGTCAAATAAGTTAATCGATAAGCGGCGTTAATCGATAGTCGTGTCCAAGGTCCTGGCTTGTTTGCCGCTGCGAACAACTTTTTTGTCCACATGTTTGAAAATCGATCATAAATTCTTGAATATTTTAAGGCAGTCAATCAAACACAAGGACGCGGGTTCAATTCCGGTCATGCAGAACTTTGTGTCTCACATATTCACTTAACTTTATTTATGACATAAGCTAAGTCGCTCTGCATGATTATCACTGCTTGTAATCGCATTGATTACGCAAGGACTCTTGTTCGATTCATGGTATGGCCAGTGCTTGTTCTTACATAATTACATATTAATTACTGCTTATTAAATACTATATGGGAATCAATAAGCAGTTGCAGACAGGAACTGGATCTCGATATCAAGAATGGGAATTTGTGTATTTCGTTTATGATAAATCTATGCCGCACGAGCCTCCGCTTAATTGGTCTTTTACATTCACTTTACGGGCAGAATTTTGACTATCAACTGCGGAGCTGCGGCACATTTGTGGACCACGCGATTGCCCAATGTGACCAATGGAGCATCTGGTTCCGTTGCAAGTGCGAGTATCTGAGGTTCATCAAAGAGCAAGAACAGCTTCTGTTGAAATCGCTGGCACAGATACACAACTTACAAGCGCTTGCTTCTAGGTTAAGTTTAATGTCCAAAAATTTTACGGCTAGCCAACAGAGAGAGAGAGAGGGAGGGAGGGAGGTAGAGAGGCAGGTTGGGTAGGGGCATGTGGCTGGGCAAGTGTTTCACACAGTAAACACAAGTTAATGAAATTAAAACGTAAGCAGCAGCGGGCAAACGCAATAAACACAAAAGAAATTACAATTAAATTGAAAGCAGGCAAAAGTCGAGATTCGAGTTTGCTGTGCCCCCGCCTCCGCCACACACACACACTCAGCACTCTTCATTCGCGAGACGTTGGCGTGGCATGCAACCTAAATGGAAATGAACTCGCGTGGGCCGCTGCAGTTGAGCCCCATTTCCTAAAACCCCAGCTCGCCCCCTCTCAGCTGAGGCCTCTATCGCGATGCTCCATTTGCGCCACAGTCGCAGCCGCAGCTTACCTCTCGCGCCTTCCCTCTGTCCAGCTTCTCTCTTTTTCCCTCCCCCCCACTCAGTCGCATGACATGCGGCTTTTAATCGCATTCGTTTCAATTGCCCGAATTTTATTGTGAAATGAGCAAAGACTTTGGGCACTGAGCCCTGCTCCTCCTATCCCACCCTCTCCCTCTCCCTCTACCTCTCTGCTTCAGTCTTTATGAATAGCTGGCCCTACCGCGCGACTTTCTTTGTAAAGTGAAGTGAAGTGCACAGTCAGGCAGCTCATCCCCAGTTCGTTTCATAACTTTTTCCCTAACATTCAGCGTTTCCCAACACTATGTTTTAAGTGCGCACGCCAAAGCAAAAAATAACTTGCAAATTTAATGTTAATGTTATTGTTAATGTTAATACTGTCTGTGTGTGTGTAAAAAGTGAAAACTGCCCGAGGCAGCAAAAGTCTATTTTCTTTCTCTTTGAGCCTCTCGCATATGTCTGCATGTTTTTCTTTTCAATTATATAGTTTTTCTTAACAGTTTTCCCGTCATTGTTGTTAATGTGTTTCCACATGCAGTTGTTGTTGCAACTTTCATTGTACTCACACCCAACCCACCCACACAGCCAAGGTCGCTTCGAGTGCTGCCAACTTGCCTTTATTTTATTTTATTTTATTTTTCGCCTTTTTTATCTGCATTCTTTCTTCACTTTTCACAAGTTTCTCACAACTAACATTTAAGCCCAGTCATAATTATTAATGTGTACATTTCTCTTTCTCACTCTCACAACTTTTCTTTGTTTAACTTGTTCCCCTCTCTCTCCCTCTCTCTGGCTCCTCCTCTTGCTTGGCTTACCCGCAGTGCTGGTAATTAAAATTTTATTTAACACATTTCACTTGAATACATTTTGTCCCTTCCCTCTCGTCGCTGCCTCTCTTTCAGCCTTTTGCAACTTATATTTTCTTTCCATGAAATATTTAAAACGCATTCACATTCGCTGCATGTGCAAAAAGTTATCTCGAAGTAACTTCTTTTCATGTATGTCAAATACATATGACCAAAGTTTTGGGCACTGCAAAACTTCTGCAAAGTCATAAGAGCTTAACAAATGTTACTTAACAGCGCTGTTAAACGGCATAGCATAGCTGGGCTATTATAGAATTGCAGACTGTTAAAAGTTATAAGCCTTCTTTTGTAAGGGAGTCTTAAGACGGACTCTTCAGTATCTAAGTTATGAAAGCTTCGGAAGATATAATTTCGGAAAATATATTTTTTGGTAAATAAAGAGAAGTTAAATTATTATGCGATAGTTTGATTGCAATATGGAACAATAGAATATCAATCAGAGTTAATAGCGCTATATCCATTTTAAATGAAGCAATTTACAACGTTGTGGCACATTAAATATCTGCCACAAATTCGCTTTAAAACAGGTTTATTAATCAAAAATATGATAAGGTCAGATGGCTACTTTTTTGTTGAATAACTTGGCCTTATTTATTTATAAATTACAATTTAATTTAATTATGGTCAGTTTAGTTTTTTACTATAGATAAACAATGAATAATAGCCAGGTTAATAAACTATCTATGAAAACAGTTGAAAATGCTCACAGACTATTTTTTTAATCAATTTATTTATTTACCCATGAATCAATAAATGGAATATAATAAAAACCTGTAAAGCACGCATATTTGATAAATACAAATGGAAATAATGCAAACACAACACACACACACACACAGCCATGTACACACTCACTCTGAGAGTCAACATTATGCAAATTAAATATTTGCTAATGCAAATACAAACACAAATACAAACTCAAAGCTGAATCAAGTGTCGGCGGAGTGGGGCGAGGTAGTGGCAGTCGGCACTTTTAAGGAGGTCGTCCTGTGAGTCCGAATGCTTGCATAATCCACTCATACATACATATGCATACATTACACGGAGACGCCAGCAAGTTCGATTCTCGGCACCGAGACGAGACTCGAGTGTTGAGTCTCGAGTCGCAGCCTGCTCACGTTTGAGTTGGCTCAAGGATATGTGCGTGTCCTGAATGGGCACAGCGGCGCATAACTTGCGTGCGAAGGCCAACCAACACAAGCAACGACAACGACAACGACAACGAAACAACAAAGAACAACAAAAGCTGAAACGCTTACGAAACAAGAAATTATGTTTAAGGACTTTAAGGACATGCCCACACCTGTCCATATATGTACAGTTTTTGGCGTGCGCTCATTATTGTTAGTTCACAAAGCCATCCTGTGCCCCTCTCCCCTACCTGAGCTGTGCTCTGGTCAACCGGTTTGTGGCATTGCATCCTGATCGAAGATGGGAAACGCAGCATTTCCGTTTCGCAAAACTCGTTTGCAAGAAAGTGTGCTGCCAGAGCTTGCCAGTTGGCAGAGGCGCCCCAGAGCTTACTGTTCGAACTCGTATCCTGCCCCGGCCCTCGTTTGACTTTTGTTTCGCCTGCCCCAAAAGGTAATCACCATTAAAACTCATTACCAAGGGCAACACGCCATGGCCAATACGACTCAGGACACTAAAGCTGCCACAGACCAACTATAAACCGCCTTGGCCAGGACTGCGATTGCGATTGCGATTACGATTGCAATTCGCAATCAGCAAACACAAACTGAACTGAGTTCAAATACAAATGGAAGCAAGCAACAGCAACAACTTCCACTTTGTATCTTTCTCCCTAGGACAGGTAAACCTTAATTTTCTCTCTTGGCTTTATCAATGAACTAATTTTTTATCGATTTCCTATGTCGTATGTCCTATTTCTGCTTGCATTTGTTAACTCATAAAAGCATGACTGAATGTATAGTTAGAGATAAGTTTCTCTGACTCCTGTACTCTATCAATACAATATACCCTATTACCTTGACCCTAGAATCTATTTCCTATACTCTCATACCTCTTACCTCTTACCTCATACCTCATACCTTATACCTCGTACCTCATACCTCATACCTCATACCTCATACCTCATACCTCATACCTCATACCTCATACCTCATACCTCATACCTCATACCTCATACCTCATACCTCATACCTCTTACCGCTTACCGCTTACCTCGTACATCATACCTCTTACCCCTTACCTCATACCTCATACCTTATACCTCGTTCCTCATACTCCACTAGTAATCCACAGATTTTTGCACTGGGATATATTTGCTTGAATTTCATGGAGCGTCTAGCTAGATGACTTAGCAAAAGAAAATATATTTGGTTTCGCTAAGAAGTTTCGTTCACTGGCTCTGGCAGCTCGAATTTAGCGGCGGAAATAAATTTGTTTGGCGAAAAAAGCGCTGTCTAGGCGAGAGAAATAAATTCCGACTATTTTATTGCCGTCTGGTGACATTACAAGCGATATTTGGAGGACTAGGGCACTGGTAGGGGTGGGGTTTGGTAGGCGTGGCTCATTGAGTTTGCTGGCGCCAAATCAAGTCAAGAGAAATTGCGCTGCAGTTGTCGCAGCGGCCAGAAAAAGGAACGTGGAAATTGTCGGACAGACAACCTTGAGCTAATTTGGCTAGCCTATTGCAATCTGCCCTCTCTCTCTCTCTCTTACATGTATGACTCACTCTCTTTGTTTCGGTGTCTCTTTGCAGGGCCGACAGCGGGCCAGACGAAATTCCTCGCGCCGGCAACAACATGACAGCCGCTAAGTGGGGCACCGTCACAAGGCAGACGCCCCAAAAATAGACGCCGCAGCGCCGGCAACACATTGGAAATGCTTCTCTCCTCTGCCACAGTGTTGCAGATGCCGCCGTCGCAGCCACGCAGCAACAGCAACAGCAACAGTAACAGCAGCAGCACCGGCCTGGTGCTGGGTGTCTGTCTCGACCAGCTGATGCAGCAGCCCCAACTCAAGAAGTTGCCAGACGAGACAGACGCAAAGCAAGAGATATCGAAGCAGCCGCAGTTGGCAGCCAGACAAGCGCCTTGCTTCATTGTGTTAGTCTCGCTGCTGGAGGTAGGTTGACCTGGCCGACCACTTGACCACTCCCCATGCAAATATACGCCATGTCGCGACCCAAGGGTTGGTTCAAATAAAAGCACCGGGTTGCCATGACGGCGTGCACAACACGAGGTAAAACTCCAATCGGGGCGCATTTAATTGCTGTCACAAGTGCAGCCAAGAACCCAAATAAATGAAAATCCTTTCGACATTAGCTCGAAGGAAGTTCAGGGTGGGCGACTCTACCAATACGTTTACGTTTGCATAACTTCAACTGAAGCAGTTAATATTTAACTGTGTTAATAACTTCATGTTTTCATTAAATCTGCATTCCGTATTGATTATTTCATTGGAGTTTCCATTTGCTCTCAGCTCTCTTAACTGAGACAATGAATTCAATAGCTTAAGCAATATATTTCGAAATCACATTTGGTTCTATGTAATCCATTCCTTTCATAGCGTCTCCTCTAGTTTCGGCATCTAAATTTAATTTACATTCAGAGCTGTACTAAAGACGCTTATGTGCCACACTCAGTGACCTCTGACCCCGTGGCCGGCGTAGCAGCTGTTGTTGATTTGAGCCAGCCCCCTAGCCCTAGTTTCTGGTGCTGCGTGCCCTTTATTCGGCCAACATCTCAAGTTATTGCGCTGCTGCTGCCGCCTGGGGTTGCTGCTCTAGTGGATCCATGTGGGTGTCCCGGAGCCAAGCAATAACAGCTCTCCTGATCATATTTCAGCTCTCCCCGTTGGGCTGCGTGCCCAATCCATTGCCCCATCTTCCACTTCTCATTTCCCATTGCCCACTTCCCACTTCCCACTTCCTACCTTGCCACTTGCAATTCCATTTTTAATGCCCCACACCCCTCACATGTGTCTGCGTGAGCTGGACAGAGTCGAGTTGTGTGGCACATAAATTGCCCGGCTGGCCGCAAAGCGAGTGGCAAGCGGCATTTGCAAATGCCATTTGGCTTCCGGGCTGGGCAAGGATACATCAACAGAAGCCGGAGACCAACGTTTGGGGAGTGCGTGCGAAAAGCCAAATACTTTCTGCGTCTGTATTAGTGTCTGGCTCTGCAGACTGGACGCCGCCAGCCACAAGAAGCATACATAGAGCGAGAAAGAGTGAAAGACTGAAAGAGAAACAGAGAATGAAATTTGCCCTGGCATTGGCGACGTCTCGCCGCTGTCTGCTGCCAGTCTCGTTCGCCTCGGCTGCATCATACATAGCCCGAGGGTTGCTTCGCCTGGCTTTTCCTCCGCTTTGGCTTTTCCTGGCGCCGTGCAGGGTCGACATAAAAAATGGCTTACATTGTGATGGCTTTATGGCTGTCACCCTTGACTAGACTTAGCTGCCAAGCTAAGCCCTTCGCATCGAACCTTTAAGCAATATCTTAATCAACTTCACTCCAGCAGATTCTTGTCTTTGTGTACGTTGGTGCTGTTCCGCCGGAGGATTCGTTGCTCATCTATCGTCCGGATCGCCGTTTGCAACTGTGGCGCTTCGTCTCCTACGCCTTGCTGCATGCCAGCTGGCTGCATCTGGGCTTCAATGTGCTTACCCAGCTGGTCTATGGCCTGCCGCTGGAGCTGCTCCATGGCTCGGGACGCACGGCTGTGATCTATCTGGCTGGCGTGCTGGCTGGATCGTTGGGCACCAGCGTTGTGGACTCCACTGTGTACCTGGTGGGCGCCAGTGGCGGTGTCTATGCTCTTCTAGCTGCCCAGTTGGCTAACCTGCTCCTCAATTTCGGCCACATGCGTCAAGGCTTCGCTCAGCTGCTCGCTGTGCTTATCTTTGGTGAGTTTCTCCCTCCTCTGCCTAATCGCCATTCAGCTTCGCTCATGCTCCTCCCCAGTCTCCTGCGATCTGGCCTACACGCTCTACTGCCGACAGTTGGCGCTGACGGAGCTAACGCCCAACATCTCCGTCTCCTACATAGCCCACATGACGGGCGCCCTAGCCGGCCTTAGCATCGGCCTCTGTGTGCTGCGGCAGCTGGATGGAAGCTTACGTCCGCGTCTGCTGCGCTGGCTGGCACTGGGCGTGTGGACAACGTTCAGTGGCTTTGCCCTGACCTTCAATCTGATCAACACTGTCACGGCCCAGCTGCTGGCCGAGGAGGAGGGCGAGGTGCTCAAACAGCATCTGCTCGATCTGGGCATGGAACGTTGACAGCCACGTCCAAAGACTGAACCCAGTCGCGCCGTCGAGCCTCCAACTCTACTCATATCTAAATAATAGACTAGTCATTAGTTCATAATGCATTCCAGGACAACGTGCTCAAAGAATATACATCTAACATATATATCTCAAAGAACTTGCCCCGACAAGTGCGCTCAAAGGACAAGAAGGATCGAAAGAGAAGCTAACTAACTATCTTATGTAAATGCCAAAAAGGAGATTGAGGAACGAAACTCTCAATTGCTAACGGAGCGAGGCTCACTTCGGAGACTTCAAACAATGCCGCTTAAGACAAGATCCTAGTGCTATGCATCCTATATATAAACTATATTTATCAGATAATATATAGAACTATCAAATCGAATGAGCTCTTGAGTAAGTTTTAGCTAGGCTAACTAAACTACAAATTCCATATGCAAATGAGTTTCAAAATAAATCAAAATTTTATCGAAAACAAATTAAATTTAAGGAGTTTTTCTAGGGTTGCCATATGATCTACGATCTATGAGCTATGGAAACTCTGATTCGAAGCACTTAAGCGATATAATTTGGACTCTGCCGTGCCTCCTTCAGCCTGTTATATGCACTTTCAGAAAGCCAACTGTTTCTTGGTATAAAAATTACTTTATTTCGATAACTAGATATCTATACTTCTCAGACTGCCCTCGTTTATACAACTATTGCTACAAAATCTGTTTTAAACGAGCTCTTTGTGGAAATATAAAACAAAAACAAAAACAAATATTTACAAAAAGTTCTACTTGAGCATTTATCAGTTTTATAGACTTGTTAAAGATGAAATTGGAATTGAAATTACTTGTTATTACCTAAAGATCTATGTAAAAATTTATGGCCCCGATTTTAAGAAAATCACAAGATGCAAAAATTCAAAAAACTTCTGGGAAAATATGTGTATACATTTTTGCAGAATCACTCTGATAAGTGGAAACTGGGTGAGTAAGTCAAAGTTGAAATCTAAACGAAAGTATTTATAATAAAATGTAGGTTTATCCATTTAGTATTGCTCTGATATGGTATATTGCCTTTAATATATACCAATTTATCATATAAAAAGCAATTGCACTTGATTATCGATCGTCTAATAAGAGCTCAAGCAAATCAGCTGCAAAATTTGACGACTGCATGACTTCTGACCAAGTACACTTGGCGTTTTGTTGGACAATTTATGAGTTCAATATGAAGGCATACACAAACATTCATGTGTGTGTGCCTGTGTGGTATTCAGCATGTGCCAGCGGTAACAACAACAGCGAGAACAAAATGCAATTCACAATTGGCAAACGAAAAGTAAATAACAAACAAAAAATTAGCCGCTCGATTTTGTTTGTTGGCATTGCCTCATCGAGAATTGGCCTAATTAGGCACCAGGGCCTTAGCTCGATTCGAAGGGGGCTTGAAAGGGGGGACGTAGTGGCAGCGGTTGGCTTTTGTTTTGGGTTTCGGTTTCGTGTCGCAGTTTGCTAAGTCAAAACAGAAAACCAAACCATGAGAGTGCTCAAAGAGCTGATACCCTCTAGCATGAGTAAGTGCTCGAGATTATGTAGAAATGCAGCAAGAATCACTAAAGAACGTTGAAAAAGCTGCTGCATTACTAGAAGAGTGAGTTATACGAAGATAGAATCAATGCTGAACGAATAAAAACAGATTAGATTAGATAAGTTAAAAGTGTGAATACCCTGTATAATATAGAATAATATTGAAATAATTATTTATGATATTCAATATGAACTCACACATTTACCACAAATTTTTGAATAGATCTTTCAAGTTATTCTCACACTTAACACAGTTAAACACATTTCAAAGCTCAAGCAGCCACTCGCAGTCATATTCCAGGGTATTCAAGCCGAAATTGTAAACGCTTCTCTGACCGTATTTGCGCTGAAATTTAATAACTCGTTGCTGCAATTTGGTGGCGCATTCGATTTCTGCTGCTGCAGCAACAACAATATCAGCTGCGCCCTCCTCCACCTCCTGCCGCCCACAAGGAGCAGCAGCGTTGACGAGACATTGATGGTTCAATCCCCAATCGACCCACCAGCGAGCGGAGCCAATTTAGCAAACTGAATGCGATTTTTATATGCAACCTGTGCAGCTTGCAGCTTGCAGCTTGCAACACACAGAAGCAGAGGATCGAATCGCATCGCATAGCATCGAAGCATATCGGATCGGATCGAATCAGTTGCTGGCTGGGCACGTTTAAATCCTCGTTAAGTCATCACCAGGTGAGCTGGTTCTGCTGCGCTTGACAGCCACGACGACCAGTGGCGACATTTGACAACAAAATATTTGTGACATTAAATGCTGTGGCAGCACCATCCACAGGCTCAGCCATGCCACATCTTGGCTCATCCCCATTCTGGATTGCAACTGCAGCTACGTGCTCATTTCACTAATTTAATGAAGACCTTTGTGGTGGCGCGTCCTGGCCATTGTCTCGACATCGTCTTCAGATTGATGAGCTCGGTGTAGACCACATATGCCAGGGCCAGCTCAAGCTCGACTCCTCTCCCCGTGCGTCTCCAGCTCCCTCTGATTGCTTTCACTGGCTGCTGCATCAATAATTTGTGTTCGCCGTTGAAAATAATTGACCAAGTTTGTCTGTTTGCGGTTCTGGGTAGCCAGACGAAAAGCGTCGTGGCATTTAATCTACTTGCAGCAGGCCGAGCGACCGCGGATGACAACGACAACTGCAGCGGCGGCACCAGCTGCCAAATGACGACAAAAACAGCAAACAAAAATGCTACGAATCAGCATTGGACTTCCTCTTGCTCTTGGTCTTGGTCTTGGCCTCAGTCTCGGTCTTGCACTTGGCTTTCATCTGGCGTCTCGTTTCGGCCTCTTGGTCTTGGACTTGCGCTTGGACTCGCTGCACTTCGCGTAATTGAAATAATTTTAAGTGAAAAATCTGCATTCAAAAAATATTTCACAAGACCCACAAATGTGAGAAGCCAGCAAAAAGCAAGCGGCTGCTTACATAAGCAAGGACTAACTGACTGGCAGATGCCCTTTCCAAGCATAAGAGGTAAAGGCATCGGACAGGTGAAGAAATTAAAGCTCAAAGACCACATTTTAAGTATTTTAATGATATTTTTGAGTAACTGATATTACATTTATGTTCTATGATATCCCAGTTGACGGCTCAATGTATCGATCTATATTATAGTAGTAATATTTCCGTATTCCTTGGTTAATCGAATCAACTCAAACCTCATCCCAAAGACTCTCTCCTAAGTAACTTATTTCTCGTGTCGCTCTCTTCAGCTGCTTCTACTCAAATGCCCCAATCAACAGACGGCACTTTTATGGCCGAGGAACTGAAATTTACATGCGCAAATTTAAACAGTCGTTGGGTGAACAAAAAAAAAGAAAAGAATCAACAGTTTGCAGTTTGCAGTTTGCAGTTTGGCATCCGGGCTCATTTGGAGCCATCTTAATCCTTGGCATTAAGGCAAATTGCTGCGGCAGCTGCTCCCTGGCCCACCTCGCCCTCAGCCCTTGTTCAAGCAATGAACTTTGAAGTTCAGAGGGGCTACGATCAATGATCACCGATCTTCGATCTTCGATCGTCGTTCGTCGATCGCCGAGCACCGTAATTTGCTTAATTCGACGCTCAGCCCAGGGTTTTGGGGGCTGGTTCTGGGTCTGGAGCCACGTAATGGGCGCTCAGCACGCGGCTGCCACTCGTCAATTTGTTTGGTAGCCTTTTTTATGCTGCTGTCGCTGACGCTGACGATCGACACGTTCAGGATGATCCTTGAGTGCTTCTTCAGCAGCAGCAGCCTCAGCCTCAGCAGCGCTGCCTCAATTTGGTTTTTGGACTCGCCCGCGGGCAACTGCAAGTTAAGTTTTTATCACATGGCTGCACTTGCCGCATTTTTCGGTGGCTGTAATTTCCGATCAGACATTATGAGCCCACACCCCTCCGACATCAAGCCAATAGCTCTGCCGGCTCTCGGAACTGACAGCACAAAAAGTATTACAGGGACAACTCTTTTAATAATTGCCAAATACTCGATTCAAAAACAGATGGAGTCTTAAATAGAGAGAACGACCGGAATTTTGGAAGACTTATATTGCGTCATTCTGCTTATCTGAAATTGTTTCTGTTGGAGATATTACATAATAGGCTTCTTCATTAATAGAAATTCCATTATGAAATTATGAAACTGTTTCGCATATTCTGATTAATATCATATGAAACAGAGGAGGGAAGGGTAAGAGAATTAGAGAGAGAAAGAAAGGGAAAGAGATAATAAGGGACATAGAGAGAGAAATAGAGGGAGAGAGAAAGAGCTGAAGAAACTAAGTTTGAGAATTGCATAGAAGAGAGATATTTCATATATGTATTTTGCAATATAATATTCCGCCCTCAAACACTCAGCGATTTCCATTTTCCAATTACCAATTACCAATTACCAATTAGCAATCAGCAATTAGCACTCCATGCATCTCATTAAAGCTGCCAACATGTCTCGTCTTTTCGATATTTTGGCTGAGAGCTCGGTGGCCTCCATAACTCAGCTCAATATAAATCTGTTAACAAAACGCTTAATCCGTATTGTGAGTTTTATTTATGGCCATTTGATGGCACATTATCGGATCAGGCACATGGCACTCGGCATTCAGCGTCCGACACTCGACACATGGCTCATTGGACAGTTGGCAGCTGGCTGCGCCTCATAATTGGATTCGTCACAGGCGCTCTTGTGGTCCTGGTCATAAATCGCGGCCTGCTTGAAATGCAAATTTTCGGTGTTGCCTGCCCCACAGTTGCTGTCTGCGGCAGTTGCATGTCGTCGCTCTATACATGTGTGTGTTTGTGTGTCCGACTGTGTGTGTGTGTGTGTGTTGGGGCATGGAGTATCATCGGCAAGGCATCAAAGTGCCAGGGCGCAAATGTTCGCCAGCCCAATTAACGCGGCAGCAGCTGAGAGAGTGCATCAGCAGGAGCAGCAATCAGACTTCACTTGAACAGCAAATGTTTGCAATTAAGCCTCGATTTTCGGCAAAGTGCGTGGCTTCTGCTGAACAACTGCACCAACAACAACGGCAACGGCAACGGCAACAGCCACTGCAACAGGAGCAGCACGAAGTCAGGAGTTGCTGGAACAAGAAGCGTTTCATGTTCCTCGCTGGCTGCTTGTCGATGCGTAACAAAGGATAATCCACAAAACTGACTCGATTCTGCTGGCTGCACCCACCACAAAGTCAGACAACGGACAGACGCAAAAGCCACAGCAGCAGCAGCAGCATCCA